TTTCCAGTTGTAATAGCTATTCAAAATAGAAGGAGTAGGTGATTCCGTCATGGCACAGCGGGGATAGTCCTCATAACAAAGCTCTTTGGCCTTTATCTGGTCTTTACTTATTCCTGACTCATCAGCTTGTGCCAGCTTGCTCATAATGACCTTCAAAGAAAGCAAAGACAGTCGAAGTCCACGTACGTAACTAACTTTTCTGCCTTTTGAACCCCTCAATGTGTCTAAAGACGAATAGACATTCCAGAGATTAGACACCCTCTTATGTTCTGCAAGCTATTCTGAGATACCACAGGAATAGTCTTTCGATCCCAGTCTCTTCATTAGTAATCAAGTGGATTATTGACGTAAGATCGCTGAAAAACTGGATGTTGACGGACCTTGGCCGTCTAATTGTACAGCCATCAACCCACTGTTTGTACTCCTTTTGCTCATCAATTCATTTCATCAAATTCACCACACCCCCTCCCTTATGATAGGGAGAAATCGTGGTCCTGAATAGTCCTTAGTTTTCCTATTTTTATAGATATCACAAGGGTCAAAGGTCTCGAAGAGTCAAGTGGCGCACTATCACATACGCAGGGTCCATGAATCGAATCCCGGCTCGATACTCACCCAGACGAAACAAGCCTTTTCATCCTACGGGATTGGTTATTTGGTACGAGACTTTTCTAGGGGATAACAACACTGACTTGTACATTGCCGGACCACCCTAAGTCATTGTATTGACCACATCCGCCTTCAAATCGCCTCTACGATTCCGGATGGAAGTCAAATGCTGGGTGGATTCCTCTGACGGGATAATTGCCGCCATAACTTTATCCTTTGTCTTTATCACAACGGAATTTCTGGTAATAGACTAGTGTTATAAATGGAGGGTTCACGGGAAAACTAGCGCCCAATGCTGAACTATCGGCAGGTTCTTCAGTACCAGTTAATCATTATACAATGACTGCAATTACTACATTCTTGATTTTCTGTAATGACACCAGCTAAGCGATGTGGAAATGTTGCAAATGGGAAAGGGCACTCCCTGCGAAGAACATGTAATATACTCTGGGAAGAACACAAGTGGCAGCTGCCTACGCGCCCATCAGATACACATGATCTCTCGGACTTTTCATGGATTGAGCCACCGTCTTGACGTGCCGCTTTGTCGGTATGTCGGTTTGTTTGTTCTGCCTGCAAATTACTGCTTGCAACTTAATGACACGCCCTTCCAGTGCACTTGGACTCAGTTCACAAAGTTCTATGGTCCTACCACAGGTACGGGTAGAAGTGTTTCCCTCGGCAAAGAAAGTGATCAGAGGGATTGCTAGTTAGCAAGCACAACCTCTACAAGGTGTTTACCTCACCCTTGTAAGCCAGTAAATGAAAACTGAGCAGGGGCTTTGCTCAGACTAACGTCGGTTCAAGTGATTTAATGACATGTGGCGCACTACCAAACAGCATGATCTACGGATCAAATCCTGGTGTGGTAGAATATGCGATCAAAACGCAACCACGATTCATAGTGAAACGTTTTGGTATGCAAATCGGAATTCCTATATTCGGGCGATGTGTCCTTCGATGACTTGGTGTTTTCCATGGAACTGACACTTCACAGTGCATACGTAGCTGGTAGACCTAGGCCATTGTTGAACTTTGTGCTTTCTTAGATTCCTTCGAGACTGTTGTTAACTAAAAACTGGATTTTCGGTCATAACTACAGTGCAATCATAACTGCCATTCAGGCCCCACATATGTGTATTTGCCACAGTGAGACACCGCGTGCGAATGAAATCAAACAACTTTCCAAAATAACTTCAAAATTCACTCTCCCATGATCCCTCATAAACCTCTTCCCCCGGGAATAGTGAAGTGCTAGTGGTGATGGTCCAGAATAGCATATTGGAGCAAACACGAAAATCGGAGTATTAGAGGAAATAAGGCTTGAAAAACAGTAAAATCATTGGCTGGACGAGAATGTGACGACAAGGGTTGCATGGAAGGAAAATTTAGACGAGCTGTCTTAATGTATGCACCACTGCGTACAGCCGGCTACAGTAAGTATCTGCGTACAACGCATGTGTCCTGATGCGAATGGTCCAACCTTTATAGCCCTCTACAACATCATGAGAACTCGTCCGCTTAGGGTTTGTACGTTGCCTGAACCAGTTTTGGGCCTTCATTACGCCCTATCTAGTCTGTTTTTTGACCCGATAGCGCCCCTTGTGCTATCCTTGGAGGTCACAGGTACAACATAAAACATAATCTTAGAAAACATTCTCCGTGGACTGCCTCATGCTGCATACTCCACGACTATTTTTGGGTATTAAGTCCTTGAACTTGATGTTTTCGTCATGTTCACAAACCTATTGAACAACACACAAAGGCTGAAACCCATCATATCCCGAAAATTGGAGTATTTATGCTTGTTTTGCTAGACGGCATACTCGTCCATTTCTTTTCTGAACTTACGAAATCAATATAGATCCATTATGGCACCCATGAAATATAGATCCATTATGGCACCCATGACCATCCGATCTCATATGATTGGGTCCATCACGTGTATGCTCGCGAACAAAGGTAAAGAAAAGTAGTTCCCAGGTCACACTTAAGTACCTGAGTTCAGGATAAGTACAGTATGTATGACCTTGAATGGGTCTGAAACGGGAATTTATTTTTCACCGTTTCCCCATTTACATAATCACATCAGAGAGACTACAAAATAGCCATTCCACAACTTGTAGAATGACTTTTCCCATTCACAGGTACTACTCCCAGAATGATAGCCTGCGGTGTAGTGGGCAAATGGAGCTTTCACACACTCGTAGTCGGGGGATCGAGTCCCAAATTGATTTTTGCCCAGGCCAACCAAACCATCCGTCCCTTCGGGATCAGCTAATTAGTCCCAGACTGCTGGAAGGGTAAAAACACTGGCTTGTACATCAGCTAACGACTGCAAGTCATTGCCCAGGCTGCATACGAATTCAGAACACCATTAGATTCTGAGTGGAAGTCGAGGAGCTGCTGGGGCGCATATTAAAAACAGGATTGATGAGCCCTTGAAACTTAATCGTTTAGATTTTTATTTTCTATTATTATTGGCCTGCAAACCATTGTCGGGACCAAGGCTGAGTGCAGAATCTGATGTTGCACTTTTGCAGGAACTGAGATGTAAATAAAGCTGTTGGCAACTTTTCCCGGCTGTTTGACCCTTTATAAAGGTTTCCTGTAAAACTTGCTCTCTGAACCAATAATGAGTTCGAGGCAAGCATTATTTGGTCCTTGGTAGCTAACTATAAACTTAACATTTTGCCAATCAAAACATTCCCCCTTTGGCAATGTGCAAAGTGAACGTCGCGTTTTCATAGTTGGCACTATAATGTGGTGTTTTCTGCTGAATTTTGATATTGCGAACAAACCGGCAGCACAGCAACGACAGCACACGCAGGAATAATCTAACATGAATTTATATGAGACATTATAGATAGAATTTATAGGAGGGAAGAGGTAGAGGGGCAGAGAGAGCGAGTTTATGGCTGAACATTTTGTTTTCCCTCACGCTTCAATTAATTCTCAATGAGGACATGCAGTCGAGCATTTTTCATTCTGTTAGAAGGAATGAAGTGAAATTTACGGTTCAGCCATTCTTCAATATCTCACTATAAACGAAGGACTTCTCTCACCTTCTCAGTATGATCTATTCACCTTACTTCTCTCCTATTAATGGCGGAGGTGGTGTAGTGGCAAGTGACGCCCTTTCTCACACGCACGGTCAGTGGTTCGAATCCCAAATCGGGATCCGCCTAGGCCAACCAAGAATTCCATCCCTCCGGGGTCGGCTGATTGGTACCAGATTCGTCTGGGAGGATAAAAGCATTGACTTGTACATCGGCTGGCCACCGCAATTCATTGTACAGGTCACATACGCATTCATTTCGCCCCTACGATTTTGAATGGAAGTCGAATGCGAGGGCGCATCTTTCAGACGGGATTGATTAACGCCCTAGGACTTTATCCTTTATCCTTTAGAATCTCCTGTTAAAGGTACAGTTCACGATAATTTTAAGGTTTAAGTTCAAGACGAGTAAAATAAAATAAAATAGATCCGGAAGGTAAGTAAACAAAATAATAAAGAAGTAAAATCAGCGGTTGGACGAGAATGTGACGAAAAAAGTCGCTTGGAATGAGTATTCGGACGAGGCGTCCAAATATATGTGCCACAGCGTACAGCTGGCTACAGTAAGCTGCCTACGTGTCAAGTGTACATCCCGGTGCAAATGGTGCAACCTTTATAGCCCCTACAACGCCATGAAAACTCGTCCCTCTTGGGTATGTAGGTCGGAAAAACAAGTATTGGGGCTCTTATAACGCTGTTTTTCGACCTAGCAACGTCCTTTGTTTTATGCTTGGGGAACCTTTGGATCCTTCGTTAAAAAGGACATTCTATCGTAAACTAAACTACATATATATATCGACTGTTTCTCACTCTCACTTGTTTTTGATGATGGTTTTTCTGATGGTCATTCAGTTTTCCCAGGCTAGCTTTCTCAATGATCAGAACGCTCAAGGTCAATCCGGGCAAATTTAGATTTGACAAGATGTTCTTGTGTAACTGCTGGTACTATGTGGTGTCAATACAAACTGCTTATTTAAAAAGCTATAGAGCAACAATATCGGGGTGGTAGAAAGCTGATGTCCATGAGAATCGCCCATTCTGTAGTACATAGTAACAGCCTAGAAGGTAACTCTCTAAGTCAGCGGAAGAAGTGCAGGCCAACGAATTCAGGTCACAGGGTTGGGCAAAGATATGCCACCTCCATCGGCATAGACCCAGAGTTCCTCCCTGATTACTAACTCCCGGGCAAGTAAGTACCACTATCCTCAGCTTCTGACCGTCCCGTCATCTACCACTCCTCAGAAGGCCCTTCATTTAATGTTGCATTCCGTCATAATCCACCTATATGACTCCTTGTATTTGTTTGGAGAGGATAGGTAAGCTCCCAAATGGGATGCGACACCCCAAAGAGGCGATTATGGCAGTTGTGGGTATTGCGCAATCGGGACGCACGTTCCCGCCAAACGCACATGCAAAGCGACGCGGCCGTCACGTGCTCTGCAAAAGCCCTGCAATCCCAGCGGCGGCCGAGAGCGGCGACGGCGGCGCCGCTGCCTCGTCATCGGCCGCCGCGCGCGCGGCGATCGATGCCGCCGCGACGGGCTGGCCGAGTGAGCGTTCGACGAGCTCATTTCGTTGGCAGGCATCCATGGTGCATGTGGTTTTCATTGGCCGCCGCCCAACGACGTCGACGACGGGACGACCTCGCCAGTCGCTTCCGCCACTGACGCTGCTGCTGGCCGCCGCTACGTGGCCTGCTGCTGTCGGCGACGGCCCAGCTCTCGGGAATTATCCATCAACTCTTGGCTATCCTTCATCTTGAGATTTTTATCAGCTCTGCGGTGGGATGCATTGCGGTTGCTCACTTTCTTTTCGTTTATCCCAAGTTCTCTTGCTATTGGGCGATTCTTGGAATGTGGGGCCCTGAATCGAGCCTAGATGATTGCAAAAGACGATCGTCGTTTGGAAATTAGCCTCCATTCGTCGTCATCGCCGGCTGGCATCGTTTCAGAAACTGGTCGAACTTCTTTTCATCTCTGCGGCATTGTGTTGCTGTTGTTTCTAGGAGCTTCTGCAGAAATTGCCATTGCACTTTTAAATTATCGGGCGTTTGCACTCTGGGTGTGTGCGTTCTTAAAAGCATGTTTCTCTTTGCTTGCTCTTTTTGAAATGGGATCGGCCAAAGGATCACTTTACATCTTAGATTTAGTGAACTCCTTTTAGTTGCATTCCTTAATTGTACTTATTCTGATGCTTTCACTTTGTTAAAATGTGACCTTTGGCAAACTTTCCTGATCCCATTTCCCATTTCTTCTGATGGTTGTCGATCTTCTGGTGGCCGTCCATTCTCCCCACTGCTGGGTTGTATTGCTGTTGCGGTTAAAGGCTTGCAAAAACTGTCGTTGCACTTCCGTGGCTTTGGATTTTTGCACTCTAAATGGGCGTACTTAAGCATGCTTAATCACTCATTTTCAAGCACATATATTCAGAGTTTCCATCCATTTAATCACCGGCCTTTAAATTACTTGGATAAGTGACGATAGGGTGACGTCAACGTAGAACTTTATGACACTCAATTTGCAACAGAATTTCACAAGCTCTAATTTAGAAATAGGTGAGTAAAACTGAGTAGTTCAACGTTCTAGTTTTCCAACTTCAAGCTTCCCTTACAAGCGGCCCTCCCAGGCCCAGAGCTTGAGTTTTCATTCCATGGACATTAATTTTTCATCGAATGCGTGGGAAGTGATGTCATTATCAGAGTCTTTATCCTATCATGGCGTGGATCTAATCTTTGGTTATATGCTTCATATTGTTGATGTCTGATGTGTAGATTGGGTGCACTGGAAACAAAAGGCAGTAGTCCTCATGGCCACTGCTGCACTTTGGTGTATCATTTTTTCGCCTTTTTTTATACAAGGGTTTTTCTACCTTGTTATGCGAGTTCCTCTGCCTTTTATCTAGGCTTATGTTTTTTTTTGTTTTTTTTTTGTGCCTTGTGTTTTTTTTTCGTTCTCCTGATTACATGTGTTTGCCGCATGTAATAAAAGTTATAAAGTTATGTTATGAAGGAATTTCGATACTATACTGCAGAAGAGGTATGTAATCAGAGAAATCGAAAGGAAGGAGGTGCGAACTTTTGTTGTTGCACTGTTATGACTTTTCCTGCCCGACGGCTTTCGTTCCGGGTGCCACGCAAGGGTTCCCCATGACAACTTCTCATTTTCTGCAGAAATGCTTGAGTAAATATCAGAGCACGTGCTTGTGCTTGCGACAAGCACAAGGTCGACAAGGTGGTGGATGAGTGGAAATCTCAACGCATTCTAGTTCCATGTGTTTTCACAGAGGTATGACTCTGAAAATTGTCAGTGAGACTACCTTCGAAACCTTCAGTTCAGAAGCAACTTACACATGCGAAGACCTTTTTTTCTGCATGTGTTACATTGTATTTGTTGGCAATTGTCAAAGTGGCAGTGAATACGTCGCAATCCTCATTTTAGGAAGAAAAAGGTGCCCAAGTAGTAATTTATAAAAATTGGAAACTTTTGAAAGTTTCCCTGAAGTTTTTGATCGGAACTTGACCTTTTAGGTCTAACTACACTGACCTTTTACCTAAAAAAAAANAAAAAAAAACTGCAACTTTTTCGTTTTGCAAAAATCTGTTCAAACTTAAAAACCTTGGATATCTTCTAATTAATGAGATGTCAGTTCATCCTCTTTGTCTGATAATTCCATTTTTCACGTACCTTTTGACTAGCTGTAATTAGAATGATCTTGAAAATGTCCAATACCATGATCTTTGAAGTAATTTAAGTCGAAAAATCAAATTTTATAGTCTCAGTCTAAGTTCGACTCAATGTACCACATTGTTGCCTCCTACATTGAGCACGCAAGCAAACTGACATATATAAACGGCTGTTGAATCAATCGATAATCTAAAATCGATAATTAAGCGAAAATCATCAGTCTAACATCAGACAGGTGCATTGTATATTTTGTTCGGGGGGAATGTATGAACGGTGCTGATGACTTCTAACGATGTCGTTTGGAGATGCGTTGTCATTTGTATGCACTGTTTAAATAACCGTCATCAATGAAATCAATATTTGTTAATTTCGCCGACTGGATCAAAATAATATGACGACTCTTTTGGCCGAAGATGGTGCCATTCTTTGTAAATCAGGTTTAGGGTTTGTATTTCTTTAATCTTTTGCACTTTACTATTCTCCTAATTCAATCACGACTTTTTCGACAACATTGGGATTGCTATTAGCCACTCTAAACTGTAGATTTAATAAATAAAAGAGTCATTCGATCTATATGCGGTTTTCCCATCTTTTTCCCTCGTTTCATGACACGTTTGGGGAAAATGATGCATTCTTTCTACACTTTCTCTTGCTCGTCAATGATATCACTAGGAATTCGTGGGTTCCAAGGAATTATGCGAAATGCCATAACAAAAGCTCTAGAGTCACTCATCATTCGTTGCTTTCATACTTCGCCCTTTCAGTTGGGCTGACGCCCACCGCCCAAATCGACGTCTCGTCATCATTCAAAGCCCATTTTAAACATCTGAAATGTTTGTATTTATTTTTTTGTAAGCCAAACTGTTTGAATGACAATTGATTGCATCTCCTACATTGATTGCGAAGTAGTTTATGTTGAAGAGGCACTGTTCTCCATAGAATGCTTCCCCGGACCATTCCGGTTTTCACATTTTGAATGTACTTTAATCATACAAAGCCTCGGTCGGAACTTGAAACTGTTGGATTGGTTTATGCCATTTGATCGCGTAAATTAGACGTTTAACGCAGCATAAGTCGCGTAAAAATGATCCTATGAGGGATCGATTGAAGCTAGTGCTCTTTTTTGAAGGAACTCAAGCCTTAAGTTGCTACGCGTCGCTCTCGCCTGTTTAAGTATGAACGCGATCATTCAGATTTCGCATTTTTCACCTAATTCAATGCTTGGTGCTTAATTAAAAATCTGCTCTTCACTTTTTCTATTTTTTTCGCCATCAAACCATTCAACGTAAGGAAACTATACCACTCCAGAAACTAGGTGCCTCTTGAAATTTGGGCCATTTTCTACAAGAAACTTTTGTACTTTCGTATCATAACACAAGCTTCGAACTTTAGATATTTGTCTTTGAGTGGGATAAAACTGATCAAGGACCCTCCACTCAGGGTCTGACTTTCATCCTCCATTTTGCAGTCTTCATCGTTCATAAAGACTATATAAGGCATTACTAGTACAGCCAAGGCTCCATGAAGCTATACACTCATTTTGGATAAGGTATTTTATCTACGCGCCCATTGCTTGCTTGCTGATCTTCCCAGATCTATAATATCTGTAATCCTCTCAACGGATGCATAGTTCTGTGCAAAATCCAAGATATTTTCAGCTCGGGATTTTTCCACGCTGGACACTTGTAGCAGTGGCGCGATGTTTTGAAGTCATTCGCTGTTTTTATTGTGATTTGAAGTTGTCAGTACTGTGCTGGACTGCACACCTGTCTGCAATCGCTACGTCGGAACCTGGATTATTGTATCAAATCGCGTAGTTCTCACGTGCGCTTATGCGCATTCGAAATGCACTATTTTTATGCAGCGCTATTCCACGTGTTCACGATCCATGTCGAATTGTCTCTTCACAATTGTATCTGTCATACATGCATGTTTTGTTTCGTTATGATCGTCATTCATGAATTTATTCGTATCGCTCCGTGTTCTTTAATCGACACTACGAACGCGATTAGTTTTACTAGAGACTGATTATATTTTTCCATCAAATCGTATTTTTCAGAGCTTTCTTATGTGTGGAGTGCTAGAGTCACAGCATAACCATGAGTTTTCTTAACCTTCGTGCATTACGAAATCAGAAAGTGACAACCGTTGCCGATCTTTCAGACGAGGCTCTCGTCAAAGTATTTCAAAGGTGATTTTTGTAATACGATACATTTTTTAAGATTTAATCTCGAACCAGGGAAGTGTCCGATGGAAGAAGAGTTTTTGCGAATAGTTTCCCTTATCATTCGTAATTCGTTTACATTCCTTCACCTGACACTTTTTCAACGCGTCCTAATTTTTTCACACTCCCACCCATAGTGCAGTCCCTGCCTCCCTCACATGGCATTTGAGGTTGTCCATCAATGACAGACATCCGCTTTTCCTCTTTTTTCCTATTTGATTAAATTTAGTAGGTTGTTGTAGGTGCGATGATGTGACCATATTACGTTGCTCGAACGTATGCCGCCGCTGGCGTGCTTTAATCTTCATGGAGGAACGGAAACCACATTCATTGGTTCGTCGAGCACAAAACACAGTTGGAATTTTCATAGTTGATAGAAGAAGGTAGGACGTTGTTACATTCACTTTCTAGTTCATTTCACCCTTACAGTACTTCACCTTCAGGGCGATTCTCGAGAGAATGTGTCCGGGTTCTGAACCGACTAAACTAACAGCTACTCGTAGTGAATGTTCGTTGCTTATAACGCCATCGATTCGAACACCGAGGACTACACGAAGTTCTCATAATGACATGGTCAGTTTTCAATTAAGTATTCCTTTTTCATGTACACTTAATTGATTGTCGTCAAAATGAGGTGGCTCCATGGATTGCAGTTTTGGTCATATGGAGGCTGTTTTTTCTGATAATATTCCAAAATATAGAACATGAAACATCTTTAGGGCTTAGATGATGTTCGCTGCCGCTGTGATCTTAATTCAACAAGGAAGGTTAACCTAGTTGTTACGACGGTAAAGGGGTTCCTTTCTAAAAATAGCCAGTTAATGAAATGGCCCTCCCTTAAGAGACACCCATTGTCTTGTACTCGGAAACTATTCTTGGATCTGCTTACAAAATTCTCATGTCATTCCGTGAATTTTGTGATCATTGAGCCACTGAAGCTTTTCAACATCTCTGTCCAGCTTATTCAAGTGGACTGAGCTAGGTTAGATATTTGGGTAGATGGGCAGTTCACAGAGTAAATGTTTTTTAATTCTTGATTGAGAGTTTTGTCCTAGTTTTACATCTACTATCCACCCTATCCACTTTGAACATTTTTGTTGTCTGTTTCTGGAAATCCGATTTTAAGCGTAAGAATTTAAGTAGAAAACCGGTTAATATACGTCGCTTTCATGATCGTTCCGAGATGTTCCACCTTCTAAAATTGTAGCCCTCATTTTTTCGTGAAAAATCCCCTTAATTTATGTAAATTCCCTCAAACTTCAAAGGCTCATCCAAATGTTCACAGTGATGTGCAATCATTTCTCGTGAGAGGTTTGGGTTAGGACAGTGGTGTTTTAGGTTAGGACTGTAATCAGTTGAAGAACAGGTCTATGAACGAATTATTCTACGGATATGGTAATAAATTTCATCTCGCCGACGGGAAGCCTGGTTTTTGATTTGAGTCGTGTTGGACACTTTTCGCTGATCTGTATGCATTGTCAGTAAACAGAACGATTGAGAAGAGTATAAAGAAAGATTCAAGTACGGCTATCCCTAAATTGAGACCGCGGGAAGGATGGTGTTAGAGCTTGTGTTTAGTTTGCAGCTCGGGAACTTTGAATATTTCAAATGACAGTTCCTTATTTTGCTGAACTGCAGACGATAGCGTCTAATTTGGGAGGCCACCTGTGATCGTAGTCAGAACAAGCACTAGAGTATGCGCAGGACTTGGCAACTTGAAGTCTTGATTCTGAACAAGGGTAAGGACTAGCTATCAAGGATCTGCTCAAGGGGAAGAAGAGGTAGCATGAGCGTCAGCTTGTGGAGCAAGCTTTACTAGGCTAGTCATGTGTGATCATTCGTGGTTTACGTTGATGGGAACGCTCACAGTGCCTCTTCCGAAAGTGGCAATCGCCGCCAGCGACGAAGACGTTTTTGACGCAGCGCGGCCTGTGGTCGTAACCCTTCTTGACTTCGCGATCAGCGGTAAAGTGCGTAAAGCACTTTTTTCTCGTACGTATATTTTTTCGGTCTCGTTTATCGTCTGGTCATCACCGTAGCATTGATTGCTATCATGTGAAAATTGTTAATTATCGAAGGAACCGCTTAGATGCTATATGGTTCAAGCCAGATTTCTTTTATTACTTGCACCTTTCTATGAGACAACTTAAGATGTACGCCATCTTGGGAAGGGAAGTGAACGAGCGCAGGAACCTCTTAGACTTCACACATCACGAATTGGAATCCCATTTGGTCAGTATTGGGTCACGCTATAAGCGATTACTGCTAGCTGGAATTAGTAGATGAACACAAAAGCTGAGCAAAGCAGATGGGCTGTAATAACTGCAACACGCGAATCGTGATCAGATTGGTTATTCCAACTGTTTAATGAGAGGGAACTTTGGTCTTGAAAATATGACAAAAATGGTGGTGGCAGGTGTGCAAGTCAAGCCTTATACTAATAGGCTGATACCAACTGGGCGACCTGGGCCAGTGTTGGATCCAAGATCCGTAAACTCATCTATTCGCGTGATAATGTGCTACTTGCCCTTGCACCACTTGATTTTAACGCTGTAATTGGTAGTTCGGAAATACTGAACTTAAGTCATTATTGCGCGTTCATATGGTGTTTTCCATCCAAACAACGCCACATGAATTCCTCAAAACCCCTGGCTCTTCTACCAGTGGATATCTTGCTGAACGACTCTCGCTGACGTGGAAGCGGCTACCATTCGCACACCGCTTGCTATCAATGCTCCTTTAAAAAGCAAATTACAGTTGAGCAGTGGTGAAAGCATCCACTGCTCAAGAATTCATGCTTTATTTAGAACGATTCTCTCAATCTCTTTCCTATTATGTATGAATAAATGAGCTTCAAACAACTCGGAGAAGTTGGATGTGATTTCGATCGGGTTGGGTTTGGACCAAGATGTAATAGCAGAAGTAGATTTGGAAGTTCCTTGCTTTTGGCGGGCGAGCTCATTTCAGAATAAGCTCTACTTCCCTCGAAAGTTTGTAATTTGGTGCAGAAATAACCAAGGAATCGTTAAAGCATGGCTCAAAGTCGGCAACGTCAGAAGATTTGAAATTTCTGTTAAGCTTCCCTTCCCACGCTGGAAAGAGGAATGCTGTCAGTGAAATTCATAACGTACAATCAGTTACAAAGTTCCTATCATCGGAGAAAAAACAAGATGAATTGTTGAGGTTGATTATGTTCAACTCAAGCTGAGGATAATAAGTGTTCCGAGTTTATCTCTATGCTTATCCCATTCCCCTGTAAAGGTTAGTTTGCTGTCTTCTGAAATAATGAAGTCAGACGCACTGACCTAACATCAGAAAATATAGGTTGTTTATGCTCCCCACTCATATGAACTACGCGCTACAGTTTATCAGTAAATATTGTGCATCTGTTTACTATAAATAGCATTCGAATACATCGTCCAGCCCGGATTTACTTTGGATTTCAAATTCTAATCCATGATGTGATATGAATTTGATTTACTTTGCTATGAGATCCAAAGTAGGTAGAGAGATTCACAACACTGTAGAGATTACGATTACCAGACATGAATGTGAAAAAGTCTTGCCGACAATTCATCTCTCGTGGCATTTCCAAAACTCAACTCCTCGTCAACAACAGATTAGATTGGAGTATTGCATTTGTTATTTACTTAGCTGTAGATGGGGTTGAATAGAAGTTTACTGGGTGGGATAGGGTTAAGTCTATGTGACTACAATAATTTGTTTATTTGCTTTTTTTTTCGGAGAACCTGCTGCAGTGTATATATGTTTCCAATTAAGATAGAAGTGTTATTAAAAAAGCATTGTATAATACTAAGTTTGCCAAGACTTCATAATGGATTGATTTCGAAGTTGAGTTCAATATTGGAGTTCAAGTGGGCAAAAAGCGAAGGATTCAATTTCCATTCTCTCTCTTTGCTCTGTAATTAAGAAAATCCTGTTCAATGATAGGAGTTTTGCGATATCACTCACGTCTGCCCTGCTGAAATGGTTGTTTGCCTCCCTTGAGTAATTGTTGTGTTCAGTTCATTTATGCCCTTAAGTGCTATTCTTGGCTAAATGTACATAAGAACTTCAGTTTGGATTGGCAAGATTCCTAATCCCGCTTGCTCATAGAAAGCAGCTATTTCTTCCTTGAAATGTAGAGCATTAGTAATAGTGAAATTTAATGGAGTCCTCATTTCGAGTTTTGATAATTAGGAGTTTAGGAGATATGAAGAATTATGAGAAATTTCGAACTAAATCAGGAATAAAGGCCCCGCTTTTGTTTTGATAAATTGAACTCTGTAAAGGTGGTTTTGGTTGATGAAGTGGATTCCTGAAGTCAAGTCGATGAGCCCACAGGTGAGAGTGATGGGCAAGAAATAACTGTTATGGTCCAGATACAGAAAATTACTTCAAAAAGCAGCAGCGTTGTCGTGCTTTTTTTCTCTTTGCATGTGAGGAGCTCAATATGCAGATCAAGTTTTTTAAAGTTACGAGAGTTTAAAGGAACTTATTTCAGCCTCCTAAGGAGCAAGTCCTTCCATTGGAAACAACAACGGTATTTATGGAAGATCAGTTTGTGGATCAAACGCAAGCTTCGTGGGCATTCACTTTCGACTTTTCATCCTGGGCGAACAAACATCATGTTGTTGAAGTGAGTAATATAAAAAATCAGTCAGCTTACGAAGAATTAGAGTTTTTATTATTTCAGTTTTGACTTTCAGGTCTGTCTCCAGAACTTTTGCTCGTTCCTTGACCGTGAGCATCCACGAATGGAGTTTCCTGGAGGCAATGGACATTCTGACGGCAACAACCATGGAAGTTCTCCACAAAGTGGTGCCATGGTAGGTTAATCCGAGAAGTTGCATCATACTTTCGAAATTATCTGAGATCTCGTGCTAGCACTTTCTGTTTGCGTTAACTCTAATATGGCTAGCGGGGTTCACTTCGGCCTATGCATTGAGAAAGATGATGTACTCAATTTTGGAGAGGACAATGCAATGTAGTGCAGGATCCATTTCACGTTTTTCTCAGCTCATTTGCCTGTTGCGTGGTGCTTCTGTTCATCTGGAACGAGCCCTTATATATTGTTTCGCATCTGCAGCGTTTTTTGAGGTGTTCGTGGAGTGCTTTGGTGGAATTCGCGTCACCGCGTACCAGGCACAACCGAGTTCAATTGGGGTCGTCGGCGTTCTTGTGGGGGTGGCATTGTATGCGAGGGCTGCGACATCGCGTGCGGCGCGAGTAATCCAAGGCACTCGTTGTAAATTGCGCGCAATGTGCTTTTTTTTTCGGGAGAAGCTGTAGATATATGATCGTAACTCGCCGGCTAGCAAGTCGTAGTCGAGGATAATATTTGAAGAAAGCAGGAAAGGGAGGCGGACCCGGAGAGAAAGCGTTGACATGTCCTTTTCACCGCACTGGTTTCAATGTAAAAGCGCCGAAAACTGAACCGCCCCCTCAGTGACAACTCTACAATTTCTAATCGATCCCTTCGATGAATGCATTGTCGTAGCTTTTCCTATTTATCTCTTTTCTAAAAGGAATTGTGGTATTTGATCGATGCTAATGGCTGGAAAAGGGCGTAGCTCAAAGTGGACTCGGGATTAACCGAGTTTTATCTATGCTAGTGTTACGCGAAACCTCTAACATCTCGGTTGTCCTAGAAGGATAATACAAGAGTCCTACCCCTTTCCGCGAATGGTTGATCAGCACATGTTCATTTGTAGAGGTTGGAAGACCCGGACGTTCTTAGCGGTTAGACTTTAGAACATTTGAAGCAGTCACATATTTGGAAGGGTCTTGGAGATTTTGTATTTTCGTGTTGAAAGAATTGCAAAGTACTACGATTGTTGCAGCTCACACCACCATGGTCTGGAGGAGTTGCTGGTCGTTCGCCTCCAGGAGAGGGGTCTACTGGTAATGGTGTATTGGATCAGCGTGGATACGCGTATTATCAATTACCTTCTGCGCGAGCTTTGATGATTCACAACCCGCCTCTGACTGTAATGGATGACGAGGTAAATGATTTTTTTCTGGTATCTGAAGGAATGCTTGTTTTTTATTTTTATCACGTTTAATCAAGAATTCATGATAAAAATATACGATCAATTTTTTAAGACAATAGCTGAACTGACTCGTCTGTCATCTGGTCGATTGGAACGTTTAGCGAAAACATTATCTGTGATTCGACCGTTGCACATTGTATTTCGCGATCACTCACTGTACAACCATCGCCCTACTCTACTCCTTATATGGTTCCTCAAATTGTAAGTCCCATTGGTTATTGATCTCGATAATTGTGTGGTGGATACATTAGTGCTGGAACTCTTCGATGATCGTCAACTTTTCATTGAAATCTTATTTTAATTTTATTCATGAATTCATGTGCATAAAACTTCGCTGTGAACAAAACCAGTCTCACCTGGTTATTCATTCATTTATTCGCCGAGTTTTGAATTCAATAAGTTTTGAGTGAATGCTTTTGCAACAAGTTCCGATCGGGTTACGAATAGTTGGAATTGAACGTCAACCGCCACACGTATTGATTAAATTTATAGGCCGCACAGTTCACCTTCTTATGCAATATTTCAAAAGTTTTTTGCTTAAACTTTATAATGATCAATACCTTTCAAACAGACTTCAACCTTCGGTACGGCGTGTAACGTTTGACGGAATTCAAGCTCATCATCTGATACCGTTGCACAAGATATTCGACTTAAGCGGCATTGATGAATTGAATGTGAACCAGCCGGTTTGTTTATTATTTTCATTATACTGAACTCCTCGAATGTTTGAATATGATAGTCTACTCTTTTTAGCGATTTTCTCCTGCAATTTGTGTCTCTCATCGTCTATTGATTAATTGGCTGGCATTACCGCCTCAACATAGGCGCAGACTTCGGATGAGGCTGTCCGGCTGCCGCACCATGACTGCACGCGGTCTTGCTGTCTTTGTGCAGGTATCGTCCCTAATAATATCGTATAATGGCTTCTCTACCCTACAGCAATTCCAATCTGAGATCTGTGGGTGATTTCAGAGTTGGAAAGTCACACCAGAACCGTGTTTATTCGATCAAATATCTATCGATCTTCGATCAGTACCAGTTTATGATTTTCTTGCCGAAATGGAAACACCAACGAAGGATCCAGAGGAGGTATTTTTTGTCGACCGCCTAAGTGTGGGAATGTTGAGGTCGTAACAATCTGTGCTATTTCAGCCCGAAGACTGGCGACCACCCACGCCACCGGCAGCTGCATACGGTCATGGGCCGATGGCGGCAACAAGCAGATGGACAAACTGTAAGCTCACTGTAAAGCACCGCAAGAGCAATGTCACATTGAATATGTGCGTAGCTGAAGGGTACGTGAATTTCCTGATTTCGAACATAGTAAACTTAGGCATGTATGTCGTAGTTCGTGGACCCAATTTCTTTTTTAGCTTCATTGTGCTTCGTTGTAACGCTCCAAGAGAACAGCGACTTGCACCACAAGGATCCACGTTATGTCGGAGGAATCTTCCACGACCATCTTCTTCTCAATGTTTTGAAACAAAAGCTAAAAGCGGTCAGTGCCTATTTTTCTGAATTAGATGGGAAATAGGAAGTGATGAATCCAAACAGGGATGAACTTTTGCCGAATGAGGTTTTTATAGTAGTATTTTACTTATGATAACTTATCACCTTTTGCTGATGGTCTTCGATAATTTTTTTTGGTGGGTTGAATTCGGTACAGGTGCTGGTAGGATAGGTACATCAATGTTATGATGATGGAGCGTTATCCTTTATTTTATACCCTGCTCTATATTAGCCAAAGAATGAAACTGTGAAAATGCCTTTATAAGATACCTACATTTTTAGCTCTCAGGAAAATGATTAGTAAGTCTTATAGTACTATCCTACAGATTGAAGTGCGGCTAAAGAAATTCTAGGTGAAAGTTCAAATTACAGGATCGTTGTCACGTTACGAGCAATCATCACTGAAGCGAATTGATACGGAGCCATTACACCGCAGCCCGTCGGTGTTCGACAAAATGTTCGGCTTCCTGCTGCGATCTAATGCATGAGGCGAAGTAGGCGGTGTTTCTTCTGTACCGTCAATTCATCAGTCTCTTTCAAAAACTGCTCGGTGCACAGTTGTGCCCATTGACACTCGAATCCATGTGATTAATAATATTCGTAGTGCTCTTTGGAAAAATGCAGGCTAGTCGAAGGCCACGGCCACTGCCTACTTATTGTCGAATAATACTATGAAACCGTTTTGAAAATTCCGAACCAACAACATCGGTGGCTTACCTAGCTGTTGGCTAGCCTGCATAAGCATAAATGCTTTTTTTCGTTTGGAAGAAATAGCCTGCTTTGTCCAGTTTGCGTTATGTTCAAATTCCGAAGTTTGAATTTTTGTGTTCTTTCTTTGTAAGTATTGGCTGCGAGGAGTTTCACACGTCCATTGCTCAACGAGCGTGTGGTGAGATCAAATCGTCCATCTTTTTTTAACGTTGAACGACCACCACCAACATTGTGATTTACGCTTTTGTCATCCTTTTCTCTCGGTGAAGTCGCTACGTGTATAGTGAAATAGAGCTACGGTGTTATGCGATGTTAATATGCTTGTACAGAAGAAGAGTTATAATGTACATACATGCATGTTATTATTATACGCATACATATATAAGTATATATATTTATCTGTTATAATGTTGATTTTTTNTTTTTTCATTGCTTTGCTCGTGTTCATACATCGTACGCAACATCTATTTATTTTTCGAGTTCTTTCCCCAACTATGTTGATGTTGTTCGCCTTTGCTCGCTCTCTCTGATCATTGGTACGATCTCACGATGTAATGTTCTCAGATACACAATATAGTTATAATGGCTTTGTGCATGGATTCAGTCGGGGGACTCTCATCGGTAGCTTATTTCTCTTGCTGTCCGGTTGTATGTAGGGTAACGTGGAAGCTTTGCTCATCTCACCGATTTTGAATGCTACTTGCAGAACACCAGCTGTAGTACACATGTCCAGTGCAAATTATTAGGCTGGTAAATAACGATATCTCTTCTCCTGGATGTCTAAGTATTCGCATGTAGTTCCTATCTGACACAGAAATCGTACAACTGTTATCTTTAATAATTAGTGTTTTCCATCCTAGCAATGGCGTCGTGAGCCGTTCCTGTCTCCCAATCGTGGGTTGATCCTCTGTTCGACCTGCGCCTTGAACTTGTTCTCGTACCGGTGTATGCTTTGTGTATGTTTTGCGTTACTTGTAAAAGTATGTATGTGTGTATGTGTCACTATGTCATCTCGTCCGAACTCCTTGCTCCGCCTTTCCATTGCTCCAATACGTTCTCCATCAAGCTCTTTCAAGTAGTGTCTAGGTGGACCCAGGAGAGGTACAGCCTCCTCCCATTGTCCACATGTGGTTGTTTCTCTGAGCGTCAATTGTACACCGATTACGAGATGTATATGAGAGAATTGCACATGACATGTAATAACGTTTATTTTAGAAGAAATGATGAGGAGCTTATCGCAATTTTGAGTGTTTCCATAATTCACCGAAATGGTTGTAATCAGCTGATGTGTTTTGTTTGTTAGTGCGCAGAGGATTTGCCTTTTAGTTTGCGACCGCACAGGTCGACATACTTTTCCCCATGTACAGAAGTTTTGTTCGATGTTTAATGAATTTACAGTAATGAAAATTGTAATGGATATGTGTATGGAAATGTAGAAATGTGTTGGCTCTTATTTGCTAGAGAAGTGAGGCTTTCAACGCTCGACACTAGATTCGTGCTAAGAAGTGATTGCGAACGTTAGCGTATTTAGGGAAAAATTAGGCTGAATTCGAAGAAATATATGGCTCCAAGAGAGAACTGAAATTAAGAGGATGTTAAGAAAAAAGTAGCAAAAAAGGGGTGTACGGTCGAGTTGTCCAAATGTGTGTGCCATTGCGTTCAATAAGCTGGTACTTGCGTGCAACTTGCGCGTCCCTGTGTGTATGGTGAACCTACACAACACTTTGACGGCTTCTTTAGGTGTGTATATTGGCTAAGTCGGTTTTGGGGCCCTTATTGCCCCCTACCTAGGCTATTTTTCGATCGACAGTGCCCCTGTGATATACTTGGTGGTAAGAAGCCCATACTAGGGATGGATCCCACAAACCGCCTTTGTCGTGGATTGTGCCTTTGGTGAACATCTGAACGTGTTTTTTTTTCGTCTGCCTCGCTTAGGTATATGGGAGCTCCCCTTTGAACTGCGTACCGGGCTCACTAGATACAATCGTGCAGTGTGAGAGAGTGAAGGTTTGAGTTTTTTAGTGGAAAATTACGGTATTCTTTGCAAAATGACTGTCGCTTGCGAGGGTGTTCGGGTAGATGGACGCACCGCAACTCACAAGCTCAGCATCATTTCCCTATTGACCAAGTTTACCCAGTGAACTCTCCATCTCGATTATGGAGGTTGGGTGATGAGAAATGAATCAAGAGAAGAAAGCAGTGGATTGGTTTTGACTGGTAATGCTAAAGAAGTTCCTGAAAGTGAAACGGTAAAGTTGTGAGATCGATTGGCGATGCAGCGGTCAAATATCGCTAGGAATAACAGGGATGAGCTATGGGCGTGCACCGCGGCCCTTGTTTTTTTGTCTCACGGCTCCGGATTCGTAGTAATATCCGATGGTGAGCCCGCTAATGAGGATCGTTCCAAAAAACCCACTTCTTCGGCGTCATATACGTTTCTCTGATTGTATTCCTTTAATGATTCGATGATGGATCCCTTTTGCCGATTCCACGCCAGACAGTACGTAACTTGCTGTTTGGCATGTTTACTCATCCTTGGGGCTGGCTCAGTATGAGATAAAGAGTGGGGTCAGATGTAACTAGCCGTAGATCCATAGACTTAGATTTCCCGATAATCGAACCCAACGCGGTTCACTCACTACTCATGTCTGGACAGCGATGTTTGCTGCCACTGAGAGCTATCTGTACCATTTGGCCCTTGACTTTAATTGTTTGCAGCTATTCTAGTGTTTTGATGATATAATCGATATTTTTGGAACAAAATTTCCAAATATGTGGCGCGATCGTCGCCATAGCGACCTTCTCGCCGCAGAGCGGTGACGGCGAAGGCGTACTGCAGGTAATGCATGCAGTCATCGGCAACTCTTTAGCTACAATACTTTAACTACTTGAAGAAATTGTCAGTTCCATAGCCTCGTACCCACAGAGAAGAGCTTCTCATTCTTTTCAAACCTATTTTCTCCTCTAACGATCTAGCAAATTTTCACATTTACACTTTGTAAAATTGCTGTACATCCCTTTTATTCAATACTAAAGCGAGAACTCAAGTCTGTGGCTTTTCTGTCTTTCACTTCCGAACCAACACGGCGATCAGAGTATTTTTTTTCTGTTGCAAAATCATATTACTACTTGAAAGTCGTCTATTTACTGATACTCTTTCTTATAGACCGAGTGGTAACGCAGTGTATTGGTTTGTTTGTAGGTCTGATGTTTATTAGTATATGTAGGCATTAGTTTTGGAAGCATGCTTGTTTTGTTAGCACGGAAAAGTAGTTCTGGTGATCATTACTGTGTCTAATTTTGCTGGGCAAAGAAATGCCCTCGGGATTTGTATGCGGAACGGAATTCAACTAGTCGGTTCCAACCAGTCATAATTAATATGGTTTGAGTGTTGTCTGGCGTTTGTATCAAGCTACATATTCGCGAAATGTGGATCTATAGAAAAACATAGTTCGATTTTTGCTTAGTGCTTTTTGTGCAATACTACGTCTGAGCTAACGTCTCGTCTTAGAAAACAACCAACATCTAAGCTTTGATTAAACGACCACGAGAGAACTCAGTGCAAAATGGCAGAAGATGATCAAAAAGACTTCTTTCAAATCAGATGTCGGGCTAGAAGATGTTGAAATTAGTGCTGTGGAGAAGGAGGATAAGAATTTAATAATTTCGATCAGCTAATAATTATTCATTGCATAAGTTTGCGATGTCGCCTCAGCAGGAACACTCATTTCGGGGATTGGTCTGCAGGTCAGTACTATGGAGTACATAGCCTCGGAATGCTCGAAGGACATTGGGAACACCTGTAGACTCCTACTCATACGTCTGAAATACCCATGTTCAAGATATGTAGCTAAAGTGAATTTTCGCCTCATTTTTAAGATGTTTATTGCTGCCAAAGAGGAACAGTCTCCGATCCTTTATTCTTGCTGCAAATCTGAATTGGTCGTACCAATCCGCCGTCTGTAGTGTCAGCTTCAACACAATTACCTTTTTCACCCTTTGCGATGAAGTTATCGTACGTGGTCACAAAGAGAAGCTGAGGAAGAACTTGCGATAGCCTCCGTTCCTTGCTCATTGATAAATGGTTGCTGCTCTGCTATGCCGCTCTTACAATTAGTACGAACTGATGGAGATGCTCGATATTTTGCTACAGTAATACATCGCGGTTGTTACATCCATACGTCCTTCTACGATTGTTTTTTGCTTACATATAGATTAATATTTATCACAAGAATAAACATCAGAAGTTTCCTATAGGAGAATTTCATACTTCTGAAGATAAAAGTATCTCTTGAAGGGACCACATGTCACCTGTTGATGGGAGCATCCATGCGAAGCTTACGCGGGTGTGATGCAGTAGGATCGAAATTGTCGCCTCGCAGCGATAGTGACGCCGCGCGCCAATGAATGTAGCAGAGTGCAGCAGCAAGCAAGAAATACAGGAACAAAAGAACTAACATTAGAATAAGCCAAAAATAATAATTGNATGTTGATTGAGCTGTATGAAGAACTGTAATTTCAAGACGTCCGCGACTGTCGCGCGCGGCTAATCGATTACCCAAGACCGATTCCACTGCCCGTCTCCCAGTCTCTTCGAATGCGCAACAGGGTGCAAAAGTCAATATACCTCGTTCCAGAGCAATTGATAACATAGTGTATCTGTGATAATCTCGGTCACTTTGTATCTTTAAGTTTCAGATAGGTTTTCTGAGTTTTCTGCGACTCTGCCTTTGGATTAATATTGCATTCGTTCGCCTTAGTATTCAGTTCCAAACTTCTGTGTCATTCCATAACCGTCGAGTTACTTTCAGTATGTCGGATTTACGTGAGACCTTGAGTGCGGCGGACGCCTTCCTCTTCAAAGAAGAAGCAATGACACCAATCTTTTGCAAACCGAAACTGTTACCATTGAAGACCATCACCTTGCAGAAGCTCGACGACATGCAAAAAGAGGCCAGAAATCGAGCTAGAATTGAAGAGGTAATCAAACTGGCTTTGTCAGAAAAAGGTGGAAGGCCATAGGCAAATGCAATAGAATAGTCTTGGGAAAAGTCTTGCTAGGCAATGAAAATGGTGGGAAAAGTGATGATCAGCCTCCTTGACTCCAATCACGTAGCCAATTGCCAGCTATTTGAGGATATGTAGTGGCAGTTTGAGGCATAGTTAGTCTATACAAGTACTCGAAAGTGTTATACTATGCAAACGAAGTGATCGCTCGTAGAGAATAAAGGAACCCTGAATCAGGTTCCACCTTGAAGCTGACTTGTATATCGGCTGGCCACCGTAATTCAACCATAGTTCATGTACGCATCCAATACTCCACTACGATTCTGAATGGAAGTCGAATGCGGGGCGGCCCCTCAGTAGTCACTGATCAACGCCAAAGACATACTTTTTACCCTTGAATTTTTGGAATACGGTTTCATTGATTCAGCATTAATTTTCTTGCACTTTCAGGTGCTTTTTTCAGGTACCCCCTGATCCTGTCCCATCGACTGAGGCGAAGGCTGATATTTGGACCGCAGAAGACTGATAGCAGACTAACTAATGTTATTTAATGTTGTACTTTGAAGGATTTAAGCTGCAAAACAGATAAACCAATCGCTGGTCGTACCGAAAAATTTTTGCCTTTGATGCCACCTTGAAACATAATAGGGCCACTGTTACAAGTTACAACTGTTACAACTAATAGTTCATATAATCCCTCTCTTTTCACCAGAAGTAACATGCCGTCTAATTGTGATGAGTTTTTTTTTNTTTTTTTTTCATAGCTATTAGTTGTTACTCATAATCAGTAGTCAGCTTCATAGGAAGTAGAAGTGCTTGAGCAATGGCTGGGTGTATAGTTAAGCGCTCCCACAAGAAGCTGACTACTGGTGAGGCTAACTCAGCGAAACTGTTATTTACGTCTTGTGTTCGTGTATTTTTGAAACTTTTACGCTTGGGGTAAGCCAATGCGTAGGCTACCCTTGTGCCCATTGTATTTCCTGACATCCTGAACTGATGCGTTCTTTCGTCCTATCTGCTACTGGCGATTGTGGAAGAATGAGCTTTGATAAGCTGCAAAACAAGCCAGAAAATGAATCCTGTCACAGTTGCTCAAAGACTCAATTGAGGTTTGCGGGACCAAAGAGCCTTTTCTCGCGAAAAAGCTATAATGGGACTTCCAGTGCAGGCGTAGGAAGCTGCCCAAAAGACCAGCTAGACAAGCGAAGCAGTAAAATATCAAAGGGTTTCCTTGATGACTTTGTTCTTCACGTTTCACCCCACCAGCAGCACGTCCTCAAACGGCGATGACAATAACGGAGGTCAAGAAGAGAATAAGAAGGTAAAATTATGTTGTCTACCGATGGGAGAAGGGACGTAAGAAGTGACAGAGAAATGAGAGTTGGACAATGGAGGCTGAGAACGAAGCCGACAGAGCAGAGTCGAACAGTGAGGAGGAACGATCGACCTGCTCGTTGCTCGCTTCTCTATGAGTACACTGACCGGACATAGCGGCTAAGACCGTAGGACCACGGGAGCTGAACGGAAACGAAACGATTGGAGTCAATATAATGAGCCTGAGCTTCCATGTGCAAGCTTTCCTTGAAGTTCCTGATCAGTGAAACAATGGTGTTATGAGTATAGTGGTCTGGAATGAGTGCTGCTCCCTGCTCATAGACAGATCCCTGCTCCGAAAAATCCATTTATATCTACAAAGGATCAATATTAAATTCCATTTGGGATCAGGAAAATGTTCGCCTGCCCGTCAAGCTTCAGGAATGGGCTTGCGGAGGTTGACAGGTGTTCAAATGAATGCATTTCAATGCAATCGGCCCACATCCTCCCATCCGGCGAAATTGGAGCTTATGGGGAAAGGGACGAACAAAGAGAGCTGGCTTCTTTGAGTTTTACCTTAGACGAGTCTCTACCGCTTCCAGAAATATTCAAAGGTGTTGCGTAATATACACATTTGGTCGACCAGGAAATACCTTTAGCCCAATAAAAGGCTGAGGGGTTCTGCGGTAAGCTCTAACCTAACCTATAACACCTGCCACTATTGAACAGATACTCGCCTAACAGAACGAAATTTCGGAGTGGCCTATTCCGAATACCAACCCAAGGCATTTACAAACGTTTCACCCCTCAAGCATGTCTCAATATTTTTTAATTCTTCAATTAGAAGAAAGCCAACGTTGGGTTGGGACGGGAGCCTCAAACCTAAGCTGAAACTTACACAATCACCTGTGGCAAACATGACCATCGCAGAGATGTCAACTGTAAAAAAATAAGGCAAAAACTTTTTTGGATCAGGCATACTTCCATTTTTACTTAGTAAAGCGAGTTCCCATTATGAACCTTGCTTTTCGATCATTTCCTACAAACTCTTATCTTAGATAGGCACGACTGTGGCTGACTACTGTGTGATTTCATGTCAATCGCATCATTGGTTTTGAAGTTGCGTTGGTTTTCGAGGACGAAAAAAAGCTGTTCTGGAGATTTTTGTGACGACTCATTTTGTTGAACAAAAAGAGGTCATTAGGTTACAATTGCGGGGCGGAATTCTTGTTACGGAAGGGCTTCATTAAAGGCACAGTTCACGTCAATTTTGGGATATCCGGTTTTTTGGCGAAATTTGGCAAAAAATGTTAGATACGGCTTACAATAGTACAATGGTAAAAGAGAAAACGCGAAAAAAGATGAATATATAGAAATCGAGAGCCACAAAAAACAAGGGAGAATG